TAAAGATGATCAACTATGAAAGACTTAGCTACTGTGATCAATATAATGATGCAAGAGAATTCCAAAGGGCTCATGATGAAAAATCCTATCCACCTCCAGAGAGAACTGATGTTCTGTGTACAAAGTGAAGCATACTTTTTTCACTTTCTTTTTTATTATTATTATTACTTGCAACATGGCTAATATGTAAATTTTTCATGACGTCATATGTATAATGGATAGTATGTTGCTTGCCTTCTTGATGAGTGAGGGAGGAGCTAGAGGGAGGGAGAGAATTTAGAACTCAAATGTTGAAAACAAATGTTAAAAAATAAATAGTGAATAATATTTATTTGTTTATTTATTTAAATTTTTTTTTTTTGGTGAGGCAATTGGCATTGACTTACCTAGGGTCACACAGCTAGTGTCAAGTGTCTGAGGTCAGATTTGAACTCAGGTCCTCTTGACTCCAGAGCTGGTGCTCCATCTTACTGTGCCACCTAGCTGCCCCAAACACTTAATTTTTTTTTTAAGTGAGGCAATCGGGGTTAAGTGACTTGCCCAGGGTCACACAGCTAGTTAAATGTCCAATGTCTGAGGTCAAATCTGAACTCAGGTCCTCCTGACTCCAAGGCTGGATATCTATCCACTGCACCACCTACCTGCCCCTGAATAATTTTTAAAAAACAGAAAGATGTAAAAAACAGAAAGAAAAATGTGTTAAACTGAATTCAAACAAACAAACTTTTTAGATGGCTCAGTCACTCAAGCTTTGGGTTAGGAGTATTTCTGGCAGCAAGGATCAAGTGTATCATTGTTTATTTATTGTAATCCCAAAGGATCTGACAAATATATAAATCAATTTGAACATCTGAAATTAAATAGCACTGCAAAGAGCAATAAATTTGGCCTTAGACGTGGTTGTACACAGATTTCCTATCTTTATGATCACTTAATCACTATTAATCATCATCATTACAAATTTCAAAGTTGAAAGAAAATTCTAATCCCTGCCTTGCTAACATTGGGACCCTTGCATGGAATATCTATCTGTCCTTTGCTCCCACTTAGCCACACCCTATACATATCCTGTAAACTCTGATCTAAGAGTCACTTCCTCCAGGAAGCCTTCCTTCACTGCTGGAACCAACCACAATCCCTCTCTTCTCTGCTCTGAAACCCTATACATGTGTGTGTGCTGAATGTTTATGTATGGCTATCCTGCACCTGTCAGTTAATCAACAAGCATTTATTATGTGCTTATTTCCAGTTAGGTTTAAATTTCCTTGAGAGCAAGGACTAAACATCATACTTCTTTAGACTTTACTGCCCAATATAATATGCATATTACCATCACTAAGTTATAATAAATCTAAATGTGGAAGGGAAGGGAACTCAGAGGCTTTCCAGTCCAATCCCTTCATTTTACAGATGAGTAAACTGAGGCCCAGGAAGTTAAAATGACTTGCCCAGAATGACATGGCTAATCAATTTCAGAATTAGAATTTGAACTCAGGTCCTATGACTACAAAAACAGTGCTCCTTCTCCTACACTATTGCATTCCCTGTACTGTTTCCACTCAGTAAATATTTGCTGAAGGAATACTCAACTTATCCCTTCTAAATCAGTAGTTCTTACCCTGAGGCACTAAGGGGTTCATGGAGAAATTTCACAGGATTAGTGAATTTGAGTTGGAAAAAATTACATGTTTATTTGAAAATAATTTATTGCCTTTGTAATTCTATGTATTTTCATTTCAAAGTTGAGGTCATTTGATGAGAGCTCTAACTGGTACAGCTGACTAATGACTCTTGACTAACTGCAGGGCCAAAGACGTAGATAATCCACAATGATAGATAATCCTAAAGTCATTTCTACTGCAGGTTGAAAAGAATATTACATTATTTTTTTCCCCATTCTTTTTTAAATAATTAATTTATTTATTTTTAGTTTTCAGTATTCACTTCCACAAGATTTTGAGTTTTAAATTTTCTCCCCCTCTTTCCTCTGCCCCCTCACAAGATGGCATACAATCTAATATAGACTCTACTTATACATTCATATTAAGTATATTTTCCCATTAGTCATGTACATTTTTTTTATTTACATACCTAATCATGGTTGGTTTGTTTGTTTGTTTTTCCTGGGGTGAAGCTGAAAATTTGAACACACCAGGAAAACGGAAGGAGATGAGCAATCCAATAGGTTCCTCTGCTTTAGAGAAATCAGGCCTATGACCTATAATTTGTCCTGGACTAACCATCAGGTTGATTATCTACACAATTTAATTAGGAGTTGACTTAATATTTTATACGAGGGAAGTAGAATGAAGAGAAACTACTAGACCATCTACTTTCCATCTTGGAAAGAAAAACCCTATCAGCTGGTTGCTAAAAAGGAAAAAGGATTAAATGAGAGACAGATATACATACACACATACATGCACGAAGGACAGAGCAAGAAATGAGCATCAAAGCCAGCCTGCATAAGTAAAGAGAAGAAAGCAGGAGGGAAAAATGATACTTTCACCTTGGAATACCCAGGTAATTACAGCTAAAGATTGACTTCTTTGGGGGATTTTCTTTTGAAAATTTGCTTAAAAACTACCTCAGTTCTCCATTTCCCTTTGCTGAAATAGATCTGCCCTCAATTTCCTGAGTAAAGCAGTTAGAATTTGATAGTAAAGAGCCAGGCAGAACCGTGAACGTACAAGAAATACTGGCAGTCTTTCTCCAGATACTGGCAAGGAGCTAGAGAGCAGAAAATGCTCAGAAACAGGATGGACTCTGCTCATTTTCTGATCTAAATTGTGTCCCCTGTAATTGCTGCGATTTGCAGGCTCAGTGCTTTCTTCCCCCCACATGCTATTTCCGGCACATAGGAAGGTGGCTAGGCAGTCATTAAAAACCTGTCTCATAAATAGCCACTTACCAACTCACCTGGGGAGAGTAATGCTGGACAAGTAGTAAAGAAAGCCAATTTTATTTATTTTATTCCCTGTGTGCTCTCTATGGAAAGGGTGGACTGGTAAATTTTCTGAATGCTCAACCCTTAATTATTCATACAAACAGAGCAGGTTAAGAGTTGAAGATCATCCCAAACAGACAAGCCAAAAAAAAAATCTGTCTTTGTAAGATGGACATTACATACGTACACTTAGATAACTTATACCTATATCATTTAAACGTAACCACATACACTGAGACTGGTTGTTCAAGACTTAGGATGAGATTGGGATTGTTGTTCAGTCATGTATGACTCTTTGTGACCCCTTGGATCATACTGTCCATGGAGTTTTCTTGGCAAAGATATTGGAGTGGTTGGACATTTCCTTCTCCAGGGGATTAAGGCAAACAGCAGTTAAGTGACTTGCCCAGGGTCACACAGCTAATAAGTGTCTGAGGGCAGATTTGAACTCAGATCTTCCTAACTCCAGGCCCGGCATCCTATCCACTGTGCTACATCACTTCCCATAATGCCCCTACTTCTCCAAGAAAGGTTTTCTTTTCTAAGTGCCTCCTTGAGTTTGGGGTAGGCAAGAAGGAAAAAAAGAAAAAGAAGTATCTGATGTCTATGAAAAGGTGGGAAGTCATACGTAAGCTTCCTCATTTTTGTTTTTCACAAGAGCTAATATTGTACTCAAGAACTATTTCACATTCTTTATCTTCTTCCAAGGCTCATCTCAACTGCCTCTGTGAAGGCTCCCCTGATTTCTTCCAACTTCCTCCTTTTCCTCTACAAAACTTCCTATGATATTTTGTCTGGTTCTTTCCTTTGCCCTTATTATCTTACATTACAATTCTGTGTAATAGTTACAGTGTTACAGTCCGCTACCCCAATGAAAATGTAAGGCAGCGAGGTGATGCAAGAATTGAATGCTCAACTTAAAGCCAGGATGAGCTGGGATATTTACTAGCTGTATAACCCTGAGGAACTTTCTCAGCTTCAGTTTCCTCATCTATATAAAATGGGGATAAGAATAGCATCTATCTCACAGGGTTGTTGAGATCAAAGGAGGTGACATTTAGGATGCTTTAGAGCCCTGAGAAAAGACTCATTTTTGATCTGTGCATCCCTAGCACATTGCTTTGCACATAGCAGACCTTCAATAAATAATTGCTGAATTGAATTAAAACCACCTAAATACCCTTGTTGTGATCTGAGTAATGCACATGCCCCCTAAGTACTAGACTTGAAATCAGGAAGAGCTGGGCTCAGATCTCACCAGCAATATTCATTAGCTGTGTTACCTTCTCTGAGCCTCACTGTTCAATCTGTAATTTTTTTTTAAAACTGGAACTGTGATTTCATTGGTACATAGATTCCACAGGACTGCTCTTAAAACAAAGATGTTACCTGAGCTGCCTAAGGCACTGTGACTAATTATGAGCCATTATGTATTGGTCTTCCTGACTTCCAAGTCAGCAACACTGAGGCCCTCCTCCACAAATTAGTGATAATAATTTGTTGTTGTTCAGTCTTCATTACCCCATTAGGGGTTTCCTTGGCAAAGATACTGGAGTAGTTTGCCATATCCTTCTCCAGTTCATTTTACAAATGGGGAAACTGAGACAGAAAAGGTTACATGACTTGTCCAGGGTCACAAGCTAGTGTCTGAGGATGGATTTAAATTCAAGTCTTCCTAACTCCAAGCCTGGCACTCTTTCATTGTGCCACCTAGCTGCCCAGAGTTAATAATACCTGCATTTTTTCAGATTTGCTGCAAACATCCAATTAGATGATATATGTAAAATGTTTTGCCAACCATCAGTACTATGTAAAAGTAGACTACCAGTGTTTTTGGTACTCTTTTTGACTGACCCAGAGACCATTCTGAGGCAGAGAGAAAGAAGAGAAATCAATTCTATGCCAACCCTGAAGAGAATGGCTCCATATGTTTGTAAGCCCAACACAGTTCTCTGATACACAAGTATAAGAGAGAGCTGGTTTCCGTGAAGTAGAACCCTATAGCCATCTCAGCTAGCAAGGATATATAGTTTTTCTTTAAATATATTATTACCTGTGCCCAGTGATTTTTAAATACTATCATGCATGTTTCTGGGTCAACTCCCTGCAGGCTGACAGCCTGCTGGATTTTGCTGCCCCTGGCAACCGATGACATCATAAACCTTCCCAAGGTTCGATGTTCCTAAGTCATATTTAATTTTCGGTGAAAACTCGGAGTGTCATCGCTAAGACTCAAGTGTCACATCAGAAGAGACGTATCTTCACATTTGTCACTTGCAGAAACCTGGAATGACAATAATAAAAATGCATCTCGTTATGTTCTGTCTACCAAAGTTTGACCCCACCACCTCACTGAACTAGAAGTTCCAGTTTCTAAGCACAGTGTCTCAAATGGCAAAGAACAAACAAATCAACCATGAGAGAGAGAGAATCACTCTTGTCAGTTCTTCAAGTTTCCTCTTAACTCACACATGCCCTTTGTAACCAAATAAAGGAATGATCACGATGTGTCCCTAGATATGAATGTATATCAGTCCAGGACTCCCTTTCATCCCTGCTAAATAACAAGTGAGAAGTTTTGTGGCCCAGGGACTAGAGGGCTAGTCTTGGAATTAGGAAGACCTGGGGTCAAGTCTCCTTTCTGACACATACTGACAGGGAAGACTTTATTCATGGCCAACACGTGTTCCGCTCTCAACTTACTTTGTATTTACTTTGAACAACAAAACGCCTTATATTACTTATCTGTGTGCATCTCTCTTCCCTCTACTAAAAGGTAAGCTTCTTGAGGGCAGTGATTATTTGCTTTTTGTCTTTGTATGCCCAGCATCTAGTGCCTAAGACAGAGAATAAAGAAAGGAACTAGCACCTGCAACTCCATTAGTATAATTTCCCAGACAAGGAATTCCCTCTACTAACATGGGTTGACACTTAGTCTGCAACTAATAAAGAGAGCTGCAGACAGTTTTAAGACGTCAAATGACTTGCACAGGGTCACACAGCATGTGTCAGAGGCAAGACTTCAATCTAGCTCTCTATATGGTATGTCAAACTCCTCTCATTTGGAACATGGTCATTGGTAATTGACTAACAAATGGCTGCAGAACTAAATTCACAACAGAACTGTTGTGAAGTGTTCTGTAAAGTGTTATATTAATGTTAAGTATTAAGATTAATCCCTAGCTAGGTGGGTCAATGAATACAGTGCCAGGCCCGGAGTTAGGAAGACCTGAGTTCAAATCTGACCTTAGACATTTATTAGCTCTGTGACCCTGAGCAAGTCAATTAACCTTGTTTGTCTCAGTTTCCTCACCTGCAAAATAAGCTGGAGAAGGGAATGACAAACCACTCCAGTCTATTTGCCAAGAAAACCCCAAATGGAGTCATGAAGAGTTAGACATGACTGAAAAATGACAGGATTAATACCTAACTAGGTGATTCAGTGAATAGAGTACTGGGCCTGAGTCAGGAAGAACTGAGTTCAAATCCATCCTCAGATACTTACTAGCCCTGTGACCCTAGGCAAGTCACTTAAACCTTTTTGCCTCACTTTCCTCAATGGTAAAATAAGCTGGAGAAGGAAATGGCAAACTTTTCCAGTATCTTTGCCAAAAAAAAAACCTAAATGGGGTCACAGAGAGTTGGACATGACTGAAACAACTCAACAATAACAAATTAGGAGTATCATCAATGACCTCGCAAATTTATAAAACGGCATCCCATAGAATCCAGGGTCCAATACTACTTACTATGTTTATCAATGAATTTCAGAGTGGAACTAATGGACTCAGCAGCTATACACTGAGTCACTGACATTTCAAATTTTAAGTGAACTTACAACTCAGAGAAATGATCCCTGAATAAACAGGGGTGGGGGTGGTTGACTTTTGTTTATCAAAAAAAAGCAAATAGTAGTCAAACTAAAGAATTTTTTTAAAAAGTGGACTTAATAGATGGAACACAAGGAGATGCTGGCTGGCACATATGGAGAAGAAGAACAGAGAAAGAACAAGTTACTATGACTGGAATGCAGATTATTATGACATCCTCATGCACCAGTGACACAAAAAGTCAGTCTGATACTAAGCAATCTAAGCTACAACGTACCCAACAAATAGGTGCTCATCCAGGCTTTGACTGAAGCTGAACCTACCATCTCCTGAAGTGGCTTATTTCATTTTTGGAGAGCTCTAATTGTTAAGAGGTTTTTCCTTCCATCAAACAGAAATTTGCCTCTATCCAAAAAGTGAAGGCAAATCTAAAAGCAGGAGAGCCAGGACAGATTTTGCATGAGCTCAGTTGGGCCTTTACAAATTCTTTAGAACAGTGTGAGTCACATTTTCAAAGAACTATGAACTATTTGGAGAGGACCCATAGAAAAGCAGCTATAGAAAAATAATTACAGGGGGTTGAAAAATAGGACCCATGAGACAGGCTTAAAGAATTCAAGCTAGTCTAAAAAAAAAAATAAATAAACAATTTTAAACTGTCTGAGCACACAAAGGGTAGTTGGAAGGCAGGCAATGGCTTGGTCATTCATCTCCAGAGACAGCAAAACAGAGAAAATGGGCCTTAACTGTCAATTTCGCCTAAACAAAATGAATAATTTTATGGCAGCAAATGGAACTCCATTTCAGAACAGTTTACCACAGAAGTGGTAGAATATACAAGACAAAAAAACTGAAGTGTCTTCAGTATTCAACACTGGTTGGAGGGAGGGGTTTACAGGTCTTTATATTCACAGGTAAGATACTGAAGATGTGTGGCACACCTACAATGTAACACATTGGGCTGATGAGTTTGTTATTTTTTCTGAAGTGATTTTTTTCCCTCTTTCTTTTCTTATTCTTGGTTATAAGGGCTGGCTCACTGGGGTATTGATACAGTATATATAGTATATATACACTGTATATATTGATACGGTATATACAGTATATATACTGGGGTATAGTGGAGGTAGGAGGGGTATTTAGAAATGAAGGTGATGCTCTTGACGGAGAACTGACAGACTCACGATGTTTAATGAGGTATATATTTTTTTGGAAATGGTCAATACAGGAATTTGTTTTGCTTGACTATGCATATCTATTACAAGAGTTTTCTCTTCCTTTTCTTTTTCTTTGTCCCCAAAGGGGGTGAGAATGGAAAGAAGAGAAAATAGATTTTTGTCCAATGGGGGGGGGGGAAACATGATTATAAAGAAAGCATATAAGTGCTCTTAAAACCAAAAGCTGCCAATAACAATGAAACATTTAAAAATAAAGCACCAATCTGTTCTCTCTGAGAAGGATGAAAAGGAGAGAATTATGTAGAAACTTCAAAGGCAAAAAGATACTTCCCCATTTTGAGAAAGGACAGTGTACATCTTAAAGAATTAGAGACATAATTAAAGTGAAAGAGATGTAGAAAAGGAGAACTTTCAGAATAATTAACATATCAAGTAGCCTCCAATGGACCTGTTACCACAATATATTTACAGCCAAAATGTCTCTCTCTGATACCACTAAGGTCACCAACGGTTTTAATTTTTATTATAAGATCACAGGATCATAGATTTGTATCTAGAAAGGACCTTAAACATCCTCTAGTCCAACATCAGAGAGGCTAAGTGATCTATCTACTCAAACAGTTAAATAAGTGGCAGAACTAGAGTCAGAATGGAAGAAAGGAAAGGAAAGAAACAAGCATTTATTAAATACCTAATATGTTTTAATCACTGAGTAAATATTTATTAAATGTCTATTTGTGACAGATACTGTGCTAAGTGCGGAACATATAAAAAGAAGTAAAAGACAGAACCTGCCCTCGAGAAGCTTACAATCTAATGGAGCAGCTTATACCAGGTACTGTGCTAAGTGCTTTACAAATATTATCTCACTTGATCCTCACAATAATCCTAGGAATGAAGTTCTATGATTAACCCCATTTTACAGTTGAAGAAACCAAGACAGAGGTCAAATGGCTTGCCCAGGGTCACATAGCTAGTAAAGGTCTAAGAGTGGTCTTTATGACTCTAGACAAGTACTGTATCCACTGTGCCATCTAGCTTGCTGCCTGTGATTCTAAATTCACTGTTTCCACTCTAACATGATGCCTGTGGTGTTCCCAGATTGGTAGCCACAAAGCATAATCAAGAGAAAACTGGTATCGTAGAGATGAGTTCCTGCAGCAGCAAGAAACTCAGGATTTACTGAAAGGATTAACCAAAAATACCAATATTTTATTTCTAGTACTTAAGTTTCAGATGAACATTTTGAAGGTGTGTAATTTCTGCAAACATACTTTTATGAGGAAAGAAATTCTATCATTTCTGACCTGCAGTAGTTTGTTAAAGTTTTACTGTTTATACCACTGGTGTCAAACTCAGATGGAAATAGGGACTACTAAATTATACGACAGGATCCCTGCAGTGCACATACTGACTTAGAAAACCGCACATGTTTACATATTTCTTTTTTATTACTACATCAACTCATTAAAATCAGATAGGAACTACATTTTAACATGGTTCGGGCTGCACTTGGAAGTGTTTGACATGTTGACACCTCTGGCTTACACCATAGTCATCTGCCAGTATAGTCCCCACACATAAATCTCTCCTTTGTAACAAAGAAAAACAGTTTAGCAAAAGCAGCCAAAATATTGACTTCAGCTGACAGTGCATGCATTACTCTATATCTTTAGTCCCCCACCAATCTAAGAAAATGAAAGGTGGCTTTATCTTTTGTTAAGTGCTTTTCACTTTTCATTTTAATAGGTAATTTTATATTTTTTTAATTTCATGTAAAAACAAGTTTTAATTCATTTTTAAAATTTTGAATTCTAAATTCTTTCCTTCCCTTCCACCTCCCTACCTTGAGAAGGCAAGCAGTTTGATGTATGTTATACATATGCAGTCATGCAATACATATTTCCATATCAGTCACACTGTAAAAGAAAACAGAGACCAAAAAAAAAAAAGATCCAAGAAAAATAAAATAAAAAAAATGCTTCCATATGCATTCAGCCTCCATCAGTTCTTTCTCTGGAGGTGAATAACTTTCTTCATCATAAGTCCTTCAGAATTGTCTTGGATTATTGTATTGCCAAGAATAGCTAAGATATTCACAGCTGATTATTGTATAATATGGCTGTTATTGTGTACAATGTTCTCCTGGTTCTGCTCACTTCACTCAGCATCAGTTCATGTAAGTCTTTCCAGGTTTTTCTGAAAACATCTTACATTTCTCATAGCATAATAATATTCCATCACAATCATATACCACAACTTGTTCAGCCATTCCC